CGGCGAAGCCTGCCGAACTAAAAAATTATACACCAATATGATGCTCTCATGCTTAAGTCAGAACTATATTTATGGGGAGCGCAACCAGTTTTTTTATAGCATTACTTTGATGGGTCAATAGGACAGAGTTCCTTGGGAACTCAAATTTAGCTTTAGACGATCCTATGATCTAAAAAGTCTCCCAACTCGGAGGCATCTACGGGCCAATTTTATTCAGACCTGAGCCTGGTCGGCCTAAAACGATGAGCGAGCTTGTTGGCCATTCAAATGGCTAAATTTTACCTGTAACAATTTCTAAATTTTCAAACATTCTGTTTGTTTCGAACACAACACCAAAAAATATTCATTTACATTGTGTTGCATTGCATCCACAAAGTCTTATGTATTTTAAGCCACAAACATAGAATTTAGGTTAAAATACTATTTTTGTCCTTGTACTTTTGGCCTCGGCTCATTTTAGTCCCTGTATTTTGAAAATGTTCATTTTGGTCCTTATACTTTTAACTTTGGTTCATTTTAGTCCCTCCTTTGAAGCTACTATCACTACCGAAGCAGGCTTGCTCCTTCAAAATCAAGTGGCTAAGACGGGCTATTATGCCTATTCAACAGATTCCGATTGTGATACAATTCCATTGCCTGCTCCTATTCATGTTCGTGTTTACTTGTATGCCAGAACAACAAGGTCTAAGGACTCCTATTCTAGGTCTGAAACTCGGTCTGTTTGCTCCTACAAAAACTCATACGGTGTGTCTCCTACTCCTCTCCTGATACGAGTTACTTTGAAAAGATTCATTTTGATACATGTATTTTTAAAAAGTGATCATTTTAGTCCCTTTTTGCAAGATTTTAACACAAATTTTACATATAACGGAAATAATTTAATATAAAGTAATGTTTACATTGTAAGAAATATATTGATTATAATGTGGTGTTGAAATTGTGATAGAAAAAATGAGATTTAAAATAAAATAAAATGACCAAAATGGTCACGGTTTAAGAATACAATGATCAAAATTAACATATTCAAAATACAGGGACCAAAACGAACATTTTGAAAGTATAAAGACTAAAATGAACAAGAACTACAGAGACCAAACTAGTATTTTAACTTAGAATTTAATATATACAAACGATGTATCGTTAATCTAATTTTTTTGTTAAATATTGCAATACAAAACTTTAACCGTAATAACCAGAATGAACATTCTTAAAATGATATGATCAAAACCGAACCTACTTTTGATTTTAAATTTAATTTATTGTTAGTTAGTTAGATCTTTTTCTAATTTTTAATTTTTAATTTTTAATTTTATTATCCAATTTTAGACGCACTAACTGCATGCAATTAGTTTAAAATATTAATTTTATATTCGAATTCTCAATCTCAACTAAAAAGAAAAAAAGAAAAAGAGTATCAATGTTTCTTTCCACACAATAAGGGAAAAACAAATCGAGAGAATCATGCTCTAAGTTTAAATTATTAACATTCTGACAAATATATGGTAGATATTGGTTGGTGACACATAGATTCTTTAATTATGTAATGTCAAAGATTTCAAAAGAAAATTAAAAAAAAGGATATTATTAATGATATTATATGAAACATTCTCAACCATTAAGGTTTTTTTTTTATGTTTATTTGATAAAATAAACATGGTACCTTTATGTTTTTTTTTTTTTATGTTTTTATGTTTAGTATGATCACAGCTACTTAACATATAAGTAAATTGAATTGGATTGAAAGGTTATCAAACTTAATCAAAGCTTAGTTAAACAAACTTTATTTAAGCTCTGAGTTGTAACAAAATAGGCCAGATGGTTGGATTAACACAAATATTTTAAGTTTCAAAGTAAAAGATCACAAAGTTTTACAAGACTATGAACAATAGTACATCAGCAAAAACACAAAATTGGATCAACAAAATAATAAAATAACCATTATTTATTTAGTAGGTTGGACTCGTATGCTTCGTTTTACTTCTTGTATGTCTATTGTCTTCATCTTCTTCGTGGGTTCTTCTGCTTAGAGCTTGGGTTTGGTTTTTCTCTCCTCTTCCGTTTGTATTGTTTTTGGATATTGAAGTTAATATAAATTTGTTCTCACCTTGCATAGTGGATATGTAGACCACATTGGTCGAATCACTATAAATTTTGACGCTGTCTTCTCTCCCCCCTTTACTTGATTTAGTTTGATGGGTAGATTTATTTGGATATTAAATAATATTGTTTGATAAATTAAGCAGTGGTTATTGGTGTATTTCACACAACAGTTCTCTAAATAAAACATTCTCGAAAATAATGTAAGACTCGTTTGGTATCGTTCTCGTTTTTGTTTTCTCAATTTTAATAAAGAAAAATATAATTGTTCACTATTTTTTTATTGAAAAAAAAAAGTAATGAATTCATTTTTATTACGTCCCGAAGTCGATGCCATGTGGCTTACACACTAGTGAATGGTCCCTATAATCGAGACTTGTTGTCTGAGCTGAGTAATAATGTGACCAACACATGGCTTAAACACAAACTTCATAGTAGGTGATACCACAAGGCCCTAAGTCATTGCCAATGGGGATGGGACAAGAAGTAACRAATTCTTGTTTTTGTTCTCTATAATTTTATACGAAAATTAATCTTTTAAATTAAATTTTCAATTTTTTATGCTATTATTACTATTCAATAATTATTATGCATTTTATAATCCGATAAAATATTATTTTTTATGAGAAATGTAAGCAAGAACCAAGAGACTTAATTTTCTTATTCCTAAAATTTCTATACAATTTTAGACACATTTCTAGAAAAATGACAAACAAGAAAGATAAACAGTTATCAAATATATAAGTTTCTCAATAAACTGGAAACAAAAGACAAAGAGGCGGTAACATTATCAAACGAGCCGGTCATTTCTCCTTCTTCCATTCTTAGCCATGATGTAAACTGCAAGCCCATTATTATTCCACCCAAAGCATCTGGTTACAGTGATCACATTGAAGCCCACTTTGTACTTCTTCCCATAAACCTCTGCATTATCTGTTGAAAGCCATGAAACTTGCAAAAGTTGCACTGCTGAAATTTGGGTCCTTCCTATAATGTTATACATATAACATATAGGACAAATTTAGTAAGAATTTTATGATGACATTCTTCAAATGATTAGGAAAATGTCGGTTTAAATCTTAGTTTGGTCTTTTAGAGACAATGAAATTGAAAGTTTTAAAATTTAGAAAACGTAATCAAAACTTTCTAAGATTCATAGAACAATAAAGGAGTTAACTTTAAAAGATTAAGGGTGAAAT